AAATAACTTGCCCTGTTGGAAACCAGTGTTTGGATTTGGATTTAAATGATATTTTTGGAGTGAAAATTATCACTAAGGTAATCTCTGACTCCAGCAAAAATGGTCTTTTATTGTATTAACGGGTACTGTACTGATTTGCCAAAGTTTTGTGACTTAGTAAAGGCATTCCCTTCTTGAATTTGTACTTGGTGATTTGCATGCTGTACTGCGGGCTGGTTGTGTTAACTGAGAAAATAAAGTCATTACCTGAGTGTGGCATCACTCTTCAAGAGAAGCCTGAGACAAAAGAGCAGCTGTGCACATCTCTTAGCATCTCACATTTACTTAACTTATAAATTGCCACATGTCAAAATCATGGTTTTGTAATTGCTAAGACATGATATGTCAGGTTATTTGAATATAATTACTTTGGGGGGTAATTATGACCACAAAACATCTTTTTTACGCAAGAGCTGTCCATCATTTGAGACTCAAATGTCACCTAGATCACTGTCACCTAGATCAGCAGTACTTTTAACACCAGGGTGTTGGGTGAGACAGAAGGGGTGGGGGAACACAGTGGCCTGAGGGACACCTGGAGACTGATGCTGGTTTGGGTTGCCAGAGAGAGGATGGCTGTAAAAAAGGCTCAGGTTGTCGATCTGGGTTGGGCTGGTGTTGGCGCTGATGCCTACTGTCTGTCAGGGGTGGCTGCCTTTTGACTTTTATGGGACGGGCTTCTTAGTTTTCCTAGAGAGACTAGTTAATACGCATGCAAAACCACAGAGACTTTTAAATGGCTTTAAAATTCTTGTCCTCCTACTTTAAAAGGTTGCTTAGCTTAAGAATTCTTTGGACATTTATAAAAGCAGGTTAAATATAATGAATTAAATGAAGCTAGTTTTGACAAGTGGAATAACATTCCAGCTAAGCAGAACACTACTAAATGTTAGTGTTGGACAAAGAATCTGGTGTGGTTTCTATGACTCACACCTGCTCTGGAAAGGATCTGATACCCTAATGATTTTTTATTTAAACTTCAGTTTAAAATTATATACAACTTCAGTTTGCAGTACAGTTCCGTCTTAAATGGCTGTCTGAATACAAATGCACAGCCAGCGAAGTTGGGGAGGCCACCGCCCTGCCCCTTAGGCCCTGACCTGCAGACTCTCTTGGGCTCTCTGACCGCGGGCTCGAGAGGCCCCGCCCTCTCCACTACACCTGGGAAGGTGACCGGGACGCAGCGGCCTCGCTTTCCCAGCTGTCCGTGCGGCCGCGGTTTCCGGAGGCCGCTCGGCCAATGGGCGGACGCGCCCGGTGCCCCTATTGGCTCCCGACCCTGACAAGGGGCGGGGTGAGGCAGTGACTGGCGGGTCCGCGCCCCACCCCTTCCGCTATTCAAGCGGCCTGACCTTCCTGCGGCCGGTCCCGGCTGAGGCGACTCTGAAGCGACCCGGCGGCTCGGCCCGACGCGCCCCGCTCGCGACACCATGGTGGCGTACTGGCGGCAGGCTGGACTCAGGTAGGCCCGGGCAGCGTCGGGGAGGCCCGGCCCGCCACAGCAGGCCGGCGCGACGGCCGAGCCACGCGGACGCCCGCCAAGATGGCGTCGCCGTGGACAAGGCATGCCGCGGGGTCACGGGGTCACGGGCCCCAAACTGAGGTCGCGGCTCCTCGGGGGAGGAAGCCTGCGGTGCCTGCGTGGTCGCCGTGAAGGCCGCGTGCGCAGCACCCCGGGGCCGGCCACGCCGACCTGAGTCTCCCTCACCTGCACAGAAGGAGGGGCACAGTGACCACAGTGACCTTCCCCAGTCGTGAAGAGAAGTGAAAGCCCCCAAACTGGGGAGCAGCCCGTGTTAGCGCCCACCGTCTGTGATGGGAGCCGTGGGCCAGGTGTGCCACTGGGTCTCCCTGCTCCAGGAAGTGCATACACCTTGATGGTCTCCTTGCAGAAAGTCATTCTCAAGGCCCCGCCAGAGTCGAGCAAGTTTTGTAGAGCGGAAAGATGGTAGGCCGGTGGTAGTACCACATGGACAGCCAGCGCCCATGGCGTCCATACACCTGCACCCCTCGCCTTCCGCCTCCCAGCCCCCTGCAGGCCAGGTGTTACTTTTATTCTGTTGCTTTGCAGGTGCACAAGGAAGGGGAAGGTTAAGCCCTTGGCTCCTGAGCCCCTCAAATAAATCCCAAAGCAGGAGACACAGCCACCACCCGTCCCTGATTGCAGAAAGTGTGAAAAGTGAAAAGTACTATTTTGGAAGAGAAAGGTGTTGACAGACGAAGTCTGTCTGTCACACGGGAGCTGCCTGTTTGCCCTTTGCTGGTTGACGTTCTCTGAGAACTTTCAGTTCAGCTAGGACACCTTGATTAGGAGGTATTTTCAGTGACAGACAAGAGACAAAATCGAATATTTTCAAGAATGCCTTTAGATAATTGACCATAAAAAGCACTGTTTTAATTCAAAAGTTTTCTTTCATATATATATATATATATAAATTACAGCATATATGCTGTAAGAATAATGTAAGTAAAACTAAATACAGAAATGAGCTGGGGAAACATTCATGTGAGAGCTATTCACATTTTGCTCTGTTTCCTACTATGTGGGATTAAAAAAAAAAAAAAATCCTTCATTTTAAATTAATATGAAAAGATACAGTGCCAAGAAGAAAACTTAGGATCTCCAAGTCAAATACCAGCTAATCTGGGGGCACATTTCTGATTGTCTCCTTTGTATAGATTATTTTTGGTATTTCCCAGTTCTCAATCCAATTTTGCCATAGTGAGTAACCAGCCAAAACTAAGAGTATGGGAAGAAATCCAAGAGACCACACATAATGACACCTCCGTCTAGCTGTTGGTAATAAGCCTTGTATCCTCTCTCACTCTGCTAGCTACATCCGGTTCTCCCAGATCTGTGCAAAAGCAGTGAGGGATGCCCTGAAGACTGAGTTCAAAGCCAACGCTGAGAAGACTTCCGGCAGCAGCGTAAAGATCGTGAAAGTGAAGAAGGAGTAGCCGGTGAGTCCCTGCTTTGTCAGGGGTCGCCTCTTCAAGTTTTGAGAGCTTACCAAAACTCACTTTAGTTTGAGACTCGGCCTCCCAGTTGGCGGCTTTGGACATGGGTTACTCAGCAATGATTTGGAGTGCACAGGTCTTAGACGTCTCCTGACATGATGAAAGAGTCCCTGTGCAGCCCTGACAAGCAGAATAATTGGCACATTGATTTTCGGTGCAGTTAGCAATCCTCGGATAGAGAACCACCTTATTTTAATTAAACCTGGTTCATCTATCTGCACAAAATCAAATAATTGTAATTGCTGTTGGAGTTATGTAACGGGTCAGGAGACTGAGAAATGGCTGTTCTCTGCATGCTCCTTCCCCCATGGCTGCTGCTGCCCTCACACATCCCTTCTTCCTGAACATACGGGCACACCTGCAAGCAGGGTCTTGCCGTTTCATTAAACAGGAAGGGCTGCTCGCCCTGGATGAGCCCTGTTCTGCTGAGTTCCTTATGCTTTCAGAGAGCCTGGCTCATTTTACCTGTGCAGAGGTGTTGGGAATGTGAAGGTGCAGTCATCTGCCATGCCGAAGTGGTTCTGCACAGTCGAGGAGTTCAGACTGGTTCTCCAGACCGATTTGATCTCCCAGCTACTTTATTTACATTGTTATTTCAAAGATAAGCAAGGCAAGTTTTCAGAGAGATGTTCTTCAGATTTCATTTGGTTTTGCTTTTGAAATGTGTCAGCCCCGCAGCAGCCCAGCCCGTGACATTCATGCTCCAAAGCCTGTGCTGTGAGCGGTGTGCCTGATTGAAACTCTCTCCCCTAAGCACTTTTCATTTTCATCTTGAATTACAAATATTTTATTGTAACCAGGGAGTGCATGTGTTAAATTGAGCCCCTTTCTTGGGTCTGTCTCGTCTGAGAATTTGGAGCCGTAAAACTTCGTTTATGTTGGGCTGTTCCTTCTCCACGGGGAGCTGAGAACATCTCACCTGCAGCCACATTGTGCCGTCTGTGGCTGACTCCTATGACTGTGGGAGCCTCGGGGTCAGAGAGGCTTGTGTGGCTCCTGAAAACAAAGTGTGGCCCCTATCTTAATGTCCGCCAGCATGAGGGCAGGAGGCCGTAGGACAGAGCTGTCCCAGTAGAAGCGATTGACTCGGGTGTGCCTGTGGCGGGCCGTGTGCCTGTGGCAGCCCGTACCATTGCTGCCACTGTTGTGCTGCAGGCTGCGCATGCAGGCTCTCTCGTTGATGGTGGATGTGAAGAAGACACTGCAGACTAGCAACTGTTGCATTTTCTCTTTTCTGCCTAGGCCCTGACTGAAGCATGAACTGCTGAATCGTCAAGGTGAAGACATGTGGGTACCTGTTATAGCAGATTGAAATCAACCTCACTTCCTGGGGACAAAACTGCCCTTGTTGATAAATTGACTATGCCAATAAATTGACATGGTTTACTCTCTGCTGGGTTTTGTTTCTGTTGTATTTTTTTTTTTTAAATAGGAATTTTCCACATAGTCATATGAGTGTGAACATATGAACCAGAGTTTCTTAAAAGGATGAAAGGGCTGAATATCTGAGGACCAGTGAACTACCAGGACCACTGTTTAAATGTATCACAGTGAATGTTCTGTTTGTCGTGGCTAATTGATGAAAATTGGCACTGTCATGGAGGTTGTATTGTTTTAGTCTCTGAATCGCATTCACATTAAAGCAGTGGCTGTAGGTGGTTCCGATTAGCCCGTAACCCAGGGAAAACAATTAGAACACACATTAGAGGGACAAATTGTGTAACTCATCTCACTTCACACAAACCTGTAGAGCGGAGCCATTAACATTAGAATTTATCTAGACAAAATGCTTTTCTCCTTTTATTAGTTATTTTCTGGGTGCATTTCTCACGGGGAATGAGGCAGAGCCGGTCAATACCTTGTGTCCTGTGTTGATGGCTGAACTGCAGTTAAAACCTGTGATTCCTAATGGCCAGTCTAGTGGGTAGGGCAGTCGGATCATGTTTGAATGGCCATTCATTCGTTAGTTAAGTGTTCAGGAACAAAGTGTTTTGTTTTCTGTGGATATGCTTGGCTGAGTAGAGTCACTGCAGAGTTGACTGCACGTCGTAACTTCTCAAGAGCAGAGAAAGGACTGGAATCCGAGCTTCAGCTCACATGCGGTTGAAGACAGATGCTCTCGTCTCCAAGGACTGCTTCCTGTCTTCCATACACCTCACCAGCGAGTTTTATTGGCTTCTCAGCACAGGTTGCTCAAGAAGGGACATTAACAGAATGAGGCAGTAGTGGCCCTGAAAGGTTTGCCCTGGGATCTGCCTGGGGCTGAAGTCCTGTAGTTAGGAAGTTACAGCCATACCTCCTTGTCCAAGATAAGGTCCCAAGAAGCATCTCCCATTACCAGAGATGGCAACAGCTGACTCACGGCCATGGATAACTAGGCTAACTAATAAGCAAAGGGCTAAGGGATTTCTGGTTTGGGAAATCGTTTATTAGGGGAGCCACTGGGGTGACTAGAGATGAGACTTGAGGATAAGGATTAAAATAACCAAATAAAAGAATTGACTTTCCATCAAGATTCTGAAACTCGTTCTGATCTAATAAGATTAAAAACTGAGTCAACACTGGGATGAAATAACTCAGGTTCAGCACCTCAGGATGACAGGAGGACTTGCCAAGCGATGAGGTGTCTCTCCCCAGCCAGACCCTCACTGGCCTGTTACTACCCAGTGGTGTCAGAGACAGAGCAAAGGGATCCAGGGAGCTTTGAAATCTTAGGGCTCCTGTCGATTTCAGCTACACTGATGTCACTATGGCAACCATACCACTGAAGGGACCAAGTGTCCCTGGGCTTTTAGTCAGTTGGTGGTTTAATCTACTTTGCCATTAGAACAGTTAGGGGTAAGACCTGATATCAGTCTGAGTGGTCAGACTCCAAGAAAAGGAGTTTGCTGAATCGGAGATAAAATGACTTAGTTGTGTAAAATGGAATTTATTTGCACTTCAATGATTATTAATGAACAAGTCTTCACAGTCATAAATGTAGAAAACGATTTAGGAAGAATGTAAATCTTTCTTGCACCTGTGTGACTGCCTTTTGAGGTTTAGAATGAAGGTATCCAGGTAAGCATGCAGCTGACTCCTGCAGAGTCATGGGCTGTAAGCTAACCTTGTTAGCATCTAAAGAGTGGAAAGGTACATACCTCACTACAGTTAGTGCTTCTCCATCCATACCAAAGTGGAAAGTATTGAAAATACTTTGTGCTTTTTTTGATTATATAAACAGGAGCCTGGTCAGTCATAACAACAATGGGGCTTGATTTTCTCTAGATATGAATTGTAATTATTTCCTCACAGGGCACATAGGAGAGTGCCGTCCACCTGCCACTTTAGTATTGATTATAAATGGGCCCAAGAGAGTACAGAGCTGGTGACAGAGCACTTGTCTAGCATACCCCAAGGCCCTGGGTTCCATCACTAGCATCATGGGGACAAACTAAGACACTAGGACTCAGTACAAATAACTCCCTTTGGAGAGGTCAAGGAGCTCCTTGATGATTTCAGCAGACCATTAAAACCCCATGCACCTCAGACCTAGGCACACTATAATCAAGAGGTTACGAGTGGGTGATTTGGCTCCTGTGTGCTCAGTCCTGTTGTGATGTGAGATTACAGCCATGCAATGGTTAAAGCTGTGTCATCCTGCAAGCGTCCATGGCAACTTCTGCAAATTAATCTGAACTATAAAAGTTCCCTAATGAGACCATGTCCTCTGTCACCAAGGAGGACACTGCGGCATTGCGGCTACATTCCTGCATTCAAATGGTTGCTGAGTGTGCCTCCTGCCCTTTCCCAGAAAATGGAGAGACTGTGCGGGAGCTTCAGGGGTGATTGCTGAGGGAAAATGAAAAGGGCATCTACAAACAGCCTTTAAGAGGAAAACCAGGGACAATCATTAGTGAATTACTGGCATCTAGCTCTAATAAGAACCTTAAAACACAGAAATACGTTGGAAGCCAGTTCCTGGGAAACAAAGGTCCAAGGACTGGAATGCTTTGCTTTTGCTGGTCTTTTGGACGGGGGGAGCTGAGAGGAGAGACGTGGCTTTTCTTGCTTCCCTTTGTCTTTTCCCAGTCAGCCTGTTGACTAGTACATAAGGTCTACACAGTGCAATCATGGAGGCGGACTCACACTTCCCTTGGCCCTGAACCTCCCACACGCTCTTCAGACACCCGCCCAGCTTTGCTGGCTTTGTGAAAGAGGGACTCAGTGAGGCATCTTAGCTGCTCTAGTTATTGGTACCCAGCAATGCTGCTAAGGGGTGAAGAGGGGCCATCAGCTGCAAAGGGCTCCTGGCAAACTCCACACTTCATCTGGATGTCTACCTACAGTTAGTGAAAAATAAATGGGGCTCACTACAGTAGATTCACTTGCTGTTTAAAAAGAAGAAGAAAGATCCTACAATGGCTGTCGAGCCCTGGCTAGTAACTGTGGGTAAAGGCCCTGCCACTCCCAACCATCACCAACTCATACACCTGTAATCCTACCCCTTGGTTGTACCAAGGATTTCAGGACAGCTACCAATCTTTGGAGAAATTTCTGAAAAATGGCTGCCCTATAGCTTCTCTCCTGGCTAATGTTCTTTATCTTCTGTCTCCGTTTCTGCCTCCTCTTCCCTGTCCTCTTCTCCTCCCTCCAGCTCTGCTTTGACATCTTGAAATTGTTGGTACTCAGACACAAGGTCGTGGATGTCACCCTCAGCTTCCCCAAATTCACTTACGTCCATCCCTTCGCTGGTGTACCAGTGCACAAAGGCTCTCCTTCTGAACATGGCTGAGAAGTGCTCGGAGACCCTGGTGAAGAGCTCTTGGATGGCTGTATTGTTACCTAGGAAGGTAGCTGCCATGTTCAGCCCCCGGGGTGGGATGTCACACACAGCCACCTTGACATTGTTGGGAATCCATTCCACGAAGCAGTTGCTGTTCCTTGTCTGCACGGACAGCAGCTGTTGGTCCACTTCCTTAGTGGACATCTTACCCCGGAAGATGCAGGCCACAGTCAGGTAGTGACCACGACGAGGGTCACAGGCAGCCATGATGTTGCGGGCATCAAACATCTGTTGGGTGAGCTCAGCCACTGAGAGGGCTCGGTACTGCTGGCTACCCTGGGCCGTGAGTGGAGCGAAGCCAGGCATGAAGAAATGAAGGCGAGGAAAGGGCACCATATTCACGGCCAGTTTGCGCAGGTCTGCATTGAGCTGGCCAGGAAAGCGTAGGGAGGTAGTGATGCCACTCATGGTCAAGGACACCAGGTGGTTGAGATCCCCATAGGTGGGTGTCGTCAGCCTCAGGGTGCGGAAGCAAATGTCATAGAGTGCTTCATTGTCGATGCAGAAACAGGCATCTGTGTTCTCAATCAGCTGGTGAATGGACAGCACAGCATTGTAGGGCTCTACCACCGTGTCCGACACCTTGGGGGATGGCATGACGCTAAAGGAATTCAGGATCCGATCTGGGTATTCCTCTCTGATCTTGTTCATGAGCAAGGTGCCCATGCCTGAGCCAGTGCCCCCACCCAGAGAGTGCACAATCTGGAAACCCTGCAGGCAGTCACAGCTCTCGCTCTCCCTCCTCACCACATCCATGACACTCTCGATCAGCTCTGCTCCCTCTGTGTAGTGGCCCTTGGCCCAGTTGTTACCAGCTCCTGAGTTACCTATGACCAGGAGAAGGATGGGAGGGGGAAAGGTGAGGTGAGCAGAGCACCACCAGAAGACATCCTCAGCTCTTCCTGCTGGAAGATTCTGGAAAAAAAACCTACCATGAACAAAACTGTCAGGCTGAAAGAGAGCTCCTAGTCTGCTGGATCGGATGCTGTCCATCGTCCCGGGCTCCAGGTCCACAAGGACAGCTCGGGGCACATACTTCTTACCTGTGCAGATTAATAGGAAGAACTCAGCATATGGTTGTGGAGGTTGCGGGGGAGGGGGAGTTGTTTGGTTGGTTGGTTGGTTTTTCAAAACAGGGTTTCTCTGTGAAACATTCCTGGCTGGCCTGGAACTCACTCTGTAGACCAGGCTGGCCTGGAACTCACAGAGATCCACCTGCCTCTGCCTCCTGAGTGCTGGGATTAAAGGCGTGAGCCACCACTGGCTGCATATTATTGTTTTTCTAAAATGTGATGCTTCTCATTCCTCTCCACATTCTATTCTTTCCCTTGTTTTATATATTTTAAATTTTTTATCAGTGAATTCTGCTGGAGTATCCACTGCAGATAAGCACTGGAGGGCTCCTGTTGCAAATCACCCTCTGGAGCAAAGGAAGGATCTTTCTACTGGCACTTAGAGGGGACCCCATCTGGTGTTGGTGTGAGCCCGGGGTTCTGTTTATGTCTTTCCTCGGGACAATGAGGTTCCTCTTTGGGTTCCTGAGCACTGTGCGCGCCCTGTGGCTGCTGCTGAAGCCCAACATGGCAGAGACCTATTGGGCCTTCGTGAAAAACTCTCCCCTTCTGATGCCAATCGGGATTGAGAGCCCAATATGGCCAGCTTTGGCAAGCATTAACGTAAGTAAGCCTAGGAACTGTAGCCATGTAGTTGGATTCTCCAGAAGGTAATGTATGGTAACTGCTTTTTCAAATATGTTTGAGAACGTGTCACACAGACACCTTAGAGAATAAGGATTACCCTGAAGGTCACTGACCTCCATTTGTTAACAAGCAGCATGCCAGCTAAGCCTTTTCACATTTTGCAACCCTCTTCAAGCTGGTGTAGTACCTACTTTTCAGAAGTGGCTCTGTGCAACATTTATTGGCCTCCTGAAATTCATTTAGTCCCCTTTGAAGATACCTTAAAATTTGTGAGGCTGAATGTAGCCATTATGAGACCATTAGTTCTGCTCCTTGTGAGCTGCCTGTTTTTTCTTTATGGTTCTTAGTTGTTCTTTTCCAGAGCTGCCAGCTTAAGTCATGCTGGGATCAAGAAAAATGGGCCTTGGTTGTTCATGTTCCTGGAGTTGTGTCCATGCCAGTGGTCCATGGCAGTAAGACACAGATGGTGCTCACACACTCCAGAAGAGAATTTGACATCGCTGCTGCCATTGTTGCTGTTATAGCAGTGGCGGCCACCGCTGCTACTGTTTCTGGAATTGCCATTTCATAATTGGTTACTACAGCTAGCACAATGGAGACCCTGACAGCAAAAGTAGCTACCACAGTTAGTTAATCTTCCATTCTATTGGGCATGATGAATTTAATTCAATAGTTATATACATTTTGATTGGCTTTGAAAATTATAAACTTATAAACTCAAGTTCCATTTGCTTTTGGGATACCATCTTACAAGGACTCCAATTTGCAGTAAGGCTCATTAAGGAAGGGAATGGCTCAGTTGCCTTTAGCCTACTGGCTATGGGTGGGTTAGGACTTCTGTTGGTCTTTTCTGTGTCAAACACACAGATTGCAAGCCCAGTGCCACTTTGAGATCTTTGGCAGCAGTTAACTCTGCAGCTCACACATGATTGACCCTGTATGATAATGAGTATTCAGAGACAGGTAATGCCTGGGGGGCACTTACCAACCTAAGATAGAGTGCCTGTGTGGCCTGGGCAGGTGTCTCCATCACAGGTAAGGTGACCTGCCGACGTCCCACACAACCTAAGTCAGAAGCTCATTTTTTAGTAAAAGAAGGGACCTGTAGGGTCCTGGCCCCC